CCCCAAAACCCCAAAACCCCAAAACCCCAAAACCCCAAAATCTTCAAATATTTGGGAAAGTCAGGTGATAAAAATAATTAAATACGATAGGAAATGGAGTTGATGGTAAGGAAAAGAGTCCTAAATCCCGCTTTAGAGATTTGGAAATGATAAAGCTGAGAACAATTGATACATAAATTCAGTCCTACATATTTATCTCCGGATCCCGAAGGTCAAAGAAGGATTGCAGAGGATGCTCTCCCGAACACCAAAAGGGCAAGATAAGCTTGAGCTACAATCCTCCGGGAGTGAAATTAATCAAAGCTTCACAGAATTGATGAAAGTTGCGGAGAAAGCGTATGAAGAATCTGATGAGATCGTGCCAATGGAAGCTTTTCGCAAGTCACTTGACAGTGATTACCCTAATACTTTCAAGTTTGGGGCTGCAGGGGACTCCCAAATCTTCTTTAGCTGGCTTTATCAATCATTCACACAAAATTTGCCTGGAAGACAAGAAATTTCGGAGATTATTAAAGATACCTTTGAGATGGAGATTATAATGTTTGGATTTCATAATGAGTCACTCTTTGATAATGAAGGTAAGTAAGAGCTTCGATCGATTAATTTACTGTATCCCTCAAAGAGTACTAATATCTGTTCAAAACTTTTTATATAATGTCAATTTCTTGCAAGTCTTTTCTGAAAAATAAAAAGTTTGGTTTTACTAAACAAGTTTGTCTAAACTAATTGTAATAGCTAAGAAATCCTTTTTGTATCCTGTATCAATGCATACAATGATTCCAGAGCTTGAGAGGAGGTATTCAAAATTCCCAGAAGACCTTTTGAAAAACGTCCATGGAAATTTCATAAAATTAGTGAAGGCTACATCCTGCTATACAAAACCTGAACAAGAGGAAGCTCTCAGATCTATCTGTAGAGGAACTGAGATGCCTAAAATTTCTATTTCTATTGACTTCCTTCAGCCGCCTAAGTTGATGACTTTCTATTTGGAGTACCAAGACTATTTTGACAACGTAAATACGACGCAATTGCTGAAGGTAATGAAACAGTTTCTAAATCTTTAGGAAGATGAAGTAATTGAGGACTCTTTTGCTACCAGAGTCAAGATGATCCACCTACTTCCCCAAGAGTTTAGCCTGTAAGATACCTCCATATGGTTGACATTAATAATTTAGAGATCTCCTCTGTCAAGATACCCATACTGATCAAGAGTAAGTTATAGCATCGCCCTATTTTAAAACCGAATATCGAGGAATTCGGTTGGATGATTTTTGTCGTAAAGTCTGATCAATTCTTAATAGGGAATGAAACCTAGAAGTCAGCTTTGATTCGTATACCGATAATCCACAGAATGTTTTCTACACATTCAAATCCTTCATTGGATACTATGGTTGCCACTATATGTCATTTACCTTCGAAGAGGATACTTGGTTCCTTTGTGAAGACACAAAAATCAAGGCTATTGGTGACTTTGAAGAAATGCAGACTTACATTGAAAAATGCAAGATCATACCCTACCTGGTGTTTTACGAGAGAGTATACAGAGTAAGTATAGGTGCTTCTCCTTTTAATAAATTCCAAAATTTTGTTCTAATCTGAGGAATAGAAGGCTGAAGATAACCTAGTAAAACTCGAACTCTCTACTGAGTGAACCAACGACTGGGAGGTATCGAGTATTGATAAAAAGGAGGCCACATTACTAAAGAACAGCATGAGGAAATCCAGCTTTAATCCTCATCTCTTGCATACTCTTCGAGAGAACCAGAAGGAGAGCGAGTAAGTTTTGGTATCTCAAAATTAGCGATGAATCCGAATATTATGAAAACAAAAATGGCTACGAATACGACAGCGACGATGTAAAAATAATTGCTTAAATTTTAGGGAGAACTTTACTGTAGTATTTATAAAGGCTATCAGTACTGAAGAAGAGGCAAATGTAAGTCCTTGGTATCTATATTTCATTTTGTGACTTGCTAACTCCCTTCTATAGCAAAGGTATATAAAGAAGATGAGAGTGTCGATAATCTTCTGAAACCTAACCAATACCGTGAATTAGTCAAAGGTGAGTTTCAGCCGTTTGCAAGCTCTAAAATTGTATATAGATAGAAGAAGTATGAAAGGAACTCTTCACAAGTTCGATTAAGTATCAAAACTCAATTGGAAGCTTGCTATTTGTTAGCTTTCATTAAATTAATATAAATATTATGAAGAGTTAAATAATTGATATCAACTGCTATTCGCCCATTTGGGGTTTTGGGGTTTTGGGGTTTTGGGGTTTTGGGGTTTTGGGG